CCAAATAGACTTCATCTCAATTTCAAGAAAGTGGAGACGGAGCCTACTGGACACAAGGTCAAGGAGAGGAGCAGATGTGGGTTCAGACCACTATCTAGTAGAAGGGACTTTCAAGGTGAAACTAAAAGCCTCGAGGATAGCTGGAGATAGGCCACAATGCAAGTTCAACACTCAGAAACTGAAGGACACAACCACAAAAGACACCTTCACTGCAACTGTCAGAGCAAAGCAGGAAACACTACGCGACAGCACTGAAGAATCATGCGTGGAAGAACATTGGAAGTCTCTGAAGGCGATTCTCAACGAAACGTGTTCAACGGTTCTAGGAAGAAAGAAGAGACAAGACAAGGAATGGCTCTCAACGGACACTTGGAAATTAATAGAAGAGAGGAGAATGGTGAAAGAGAAAATGATTCAATGCAAGGACGGACAGGAGAAGGAGACGATGAGCTCAACTTACAAAGCACTGGACAAAGAAGTGAAGAAGAGTGCTAGGAAGGACAAAAGACGATTCTACGACAATCTAGCTACTGAAGCTGAAAAGGCAGCAGGCAAAAGGGACCTGAGGACACTATATCAGATAACCAAATCTCTATCCGGGAAGAGACCAACACAAGCGAAACCTATAAAAGACAGCCAAGGGAAGCCCATTACCAAGGAAGAAAAACAGATTAAACAATGGGCGGATCACTTCAAAGGACTCTTGAACCGACCATCACCTGCAACCCGTCCAGAAATACCAACAACAGCGCGCACACAACTGCAAGTTGACACCAATCCTCCAACGAGAGCTGAAGTCTTGAATGCAATCAAACTTCTGAAAGCTGGAAAAACAGCCGGACCAGATGGAATACCCCCTGAAGCACTGAAAGCAGACCCAGAGACGACAGCAGACATGCTGACTCCATTATTGCAAAAGGTCTGGAAGGAGGGAAAGGTGCCTACTGACTGGAGGAAAGGTTACCTCGTGAAACTACCAAAGAAGGGCGACTTAGGACTCTGCAAGAACTGGCGAGGAATCATGCTCCTATCGACGCCAAGTAAAATCCTGAGTCGCATCATCCTGGAGAGATTAAAGGACGCACTGGAGACAGAACTCCGACCAGAACAAGCTGGATTCAGGAAAGGCAAATCATGTACTGACCAAATTGCAACTCTACGCATCATCATCGAACAAAGCATGGAATGGCAATCAAACCTCTACCTCAACTTTATAGACTTTGAGAAGGCCTTCGACAGCGTTGATCGTGAAGTACTATGGCGTACCCCAAATATTCATCAACCTTATTCAACAGCTGTACGACAACGGCACCTGCCAAGTGATCCACAACGGAAGACTCAGCGAGGCGTTTGGAGTAAACACAGGAGTCAGACAAGGGTGCTTATTATCTATCACCAATGATATTCCTAATTGTGGTGGACTGGATTATGCGTCAGACTGTGGGAAACGAGAAGACAGGAATATCCTGGACCGACGTGAAGAACCTAGAAGACCTGGATTTCGCGCGTAGATGATATATGTTTGATGTCACACACAATCGAAGACTTACAAGCGAAAACCGACAAACTGGTCGAAGAAGCAGCAAAGACAGGACTCCAGGTAAACATAGACAAGACGGAGGTTATGAAAATAACCAACCAACAACAGCAACAACATCCAACGTCAATCACCATCAACGGGAGGGATTTGAAAGAGGTTACTTCATTCACTTATCTAGGGAGCATTGTCTCAACTACAGGAGGAGCGGACGAGGATGTCAAATCGAGAATCGGGAAGGCGAGAAACACATTCATCAGCCTGAAATCAATCTGGAAATCTTCGTCACTCAGCATCACCAACAAAATTCGTCGGATTTTCAATACAAACGTAAAGTCAGTTCTATACGGATCAGAAACTTGGTGGGTGGGTTACAAAGAATATTTCCAAAAGGCTGCAGACCTTTATTAACAACTGTCTTCGCTCAATACTGAAGATCAGATGGCCGGAAAGAATCACCAACAAGGAATTATGGGAACAAACAAAGCAAGAACCAATCGCCCAACAAATATGCAGGAGAAAGTGGAGATGGATCGGACACTCGCTGAGGAGACCGCTGGGTGACATCGCGCGCCAAGCCCTCGAGTGGAACCCGAAAGGGAAGCGGCGTGTGGGACGTCCAAGGGTGACATGGAGGAGATCGTGTGAAGAGGAGTTGAAAGAATATGGATTAACATGGATGCAGGCGAAAAGTACAGCAGAAGACAGAAGAAAATGGAGACGTGCAGTTGAAGCCCTATGTTCCACTAGGAACCCAAGGGAGCAATAATAATAATAGCTCCGCCTTAGTCGTCTTTCAACATCATCTACAAAGTGAAGCCAAATGGTACAAAGGGCGTAAGGTTTCGACTTTTGTGGGTGGCGGAGGCGCTGGCAATTCATCAAAACAACCCTGAACTCTGTATACAGAAAAAGTTTGTCCAGTCTCTTATTCTACCTTGGTCTTAATCTCTTCACTAGTCGTTCCCTGTATAAAAACTTTTAGTACTTTAATTTTCAATTTCACTTTTAGTTTTCTTTGGTTTTAATAATTAATTCACTATTATCACTCTCATATACTCCTTTTGTATATTTTCACACCCTCTTCACACTTGTTAAATTGACACTCAACTACCAGCTTTATTCTCACTCAATATCAATTTTAACCTTATCAAACTTCTATCTTGGTGCCGTTGAGTACCATGTAATTTACAACTTTTAATTCTTTTCACTTCTAAAGCCACTTATGATTAATTATATCAATTATGTCACCCCTCTTACTCAATAATAGACCACTATATATTTTTTGTAAGTATAAATACGACTGTAGAGCCAGCCTCTGAAGATGATTTCGTCGATAAAGAAAATTTTCTTCGTTGAATTTGTCTTTTATATCTATTCAGGCAAATATATGGTTTCATTTGAACAGAATGACTTTAAAGCCAACGAATACAGTATAACTTGTGATTTTAAACAGTTTTCTATTTGTTACTCGTGTATTATTCTCTCATTGTGTATAGATGTGTTGCTCAGCATTTAGAGTGCTACAAATCAAATTTAAAAATCATACATATGAATTCTGTCAAGACAGTCAACTTTTTCTCAACACGTCGTGTTGTTAACTTTACTAACAGTTTAATGAACTAACTTGCCGACAGTTTTCAAGTTACATTATTTTTTATAGATATTTTATATGACGTGTCTTTATCTTGCGTCAACCTTTTTTACACAGAAAGTTTCCAGAAATTTTAACCCAGATGTATATTATCATTATTACTGGAAAAATCTGGCCACAAAACGGGGTTTATTTAAAGGTGTTGTCATTGTGAACCATCTTAGCGGATCAAATGTATCAACTAATCTATATGTTGTAATTGTTATAGATGAGTTGGGGAGAACTGTACAAGCTTGCCTTGTAACCGGAAGACCCTGGGTTCGCACCTCAGGATCCATCTCCATTTTCTCCTACATATTTATCAAGCAATCAAGTCTTGTTTGGTTTCTTGTTGCTAATTCTTTTTGGCCGACCATTCGATATTCAGTATTGAGCCAGAGAAGAGGGCAGCTGTTGATAAAAGTGTGTAACTTGTCGGACATCCTTTCCGTAACACGCTGGCCAATTTTATCACCCGTATAGAACACCTGACTGACTTGACATTGGTGTTGAAAATCCGAATCTTGTTCTTCTTGCTGAGGCGAAGTTCAGAAGATTTGCAAACTGGTTTCAGGTTGATGAGGGCGTGTCTTGACTTTCCGATTCTGACTGGCTGGTTTTGACATATTCATCCGTTCCGCTGGCCTGTAGTTGAAATGATGCTTTCTGGCTGGATAAGTGAAGGAAGTAACCTCTGTTAAATCTCTCCCGTTGATAGTGATTGATGCTGGTTGTTGTTATCGTTGTTGCTGCTGTTGGTTGGCTGGTTATCTTCATCACCTCCGTCTTCTCTATGTTCATGTGGAGTCCTGTCTTCTCTGGCTGCCAGACTCTTCATTCAGTTTGTTGGTTTTCGTCTGCCTTTAAGTCTTCGAATTTGTGTGATATTATACACATATCATCTGCGAAATCCAGATCTTTTAGATGAAGTCTTCTTATCGTTGGTCCAGTCTACTCCTGTCTTCTCGCTCTCAACACACAGTCTGACGCATAATCTAGTCAGTCGACCACAATTAAGAATATCATCTGTGATAGTAGTGGGCAGCCAGACTTGTTTTACTCCTGTGTTCACTTCGAATGCCTCGCTGAGTTTTCCGTTGTGGATCACCTGACACGTGGCACTGTCATATAGCCAGCTGTTGAACTAAGTTTGTAAATACTTGGCCACTCCACGCCGTAATGTTGAAGTAGTTTCCAAATTACTTCTCAGTTAACGCTGTCTGTTGAAGGCCTTTTCGAAGTTGATGAAGTTGGGGTAGAGGCACAGTTGACTGCCATTCTATACTTTGTTGGGTGATGACGATTTGTAGAGTTGCAGTTTGGTCAACATATGATTTGCCTTTCCTGAATCCAGCTTGTTCTGGACTGGTGGAGTTCTGTATCCAGTGCATCTTCTATTCTCTCCAGGATGATGCGACTTAGTATTTTACTTGGTGTGGGTGGACAAGAGCATTATTCCACGCCAGTTCTTGCTCAGGCCTAGATTTCCCTTCTTTGGTAGCTCAGTCAGTAGGCACCTTTCCTTTCTTCCAAACCTTCTGCAATAATGGCGTGAGAACATCTGCTACAGTTTCTGGTTCCGCTCGCAGTGTTTGGGGGGGGGAGAAGAATGGCATCTGGTCCTGCTGCTTTCCCAGTCTTCAGTTACGTGATCGCATTCAGAATTTCTGCTTATCAGTACTCCCTGGTTTTCCAGTAGTTCTCTTGCTGATGTCACCTTGTAATCAATCCTGTAACCAATGAAATCCCTGAAAACCAACACTTGATAACTGTAAGAATTAGCTTATAAGACGTTTCATAAATGTTACTGTGTGTGTAAGGTTCTGTATAAGGACCACAAGTTGCTAAGTGTAGACTCTCTTGTCGGTGACAAATTAGTAGACTAGAATTACTCAATAACATTAAACTATGTAAAGAATGGTCTCAGCAGTGAAATTTGCAAGTGTTCCGGTACGTCTGTAGTCCAGTGGTAGGATGCTCGCCAGCCACTGACATGGTCAACGTTCGACTCCCGGACGACATCTAGTTTAGTAGCCAGTTGTAAATCCGAAGACGACGTCTGTGTGTGTGTGTGTGTGGAGGTTCATTATGAGGTAGCCGACACCACCCGTAAAAACTACAACTTCACAAGTAGAACCTCAGAGTTTGAAGCCCTATACTCCACTTGAAAGGAATGAAAATAAGAATAGCACGAGATATCGACATTTAAGAATGCGTTGTACTTACTTATGAGTGAGAGGATCACTGTAATCTTTCGTTTACCAAAGTTTTGTGTCGATGTCTTTTGTCTATCAGTCACTGTATTGACCCTCTTTGGTTCGAGCAGAATACTTTTCGTGACCTTTACTTTGCATACGGCTTGTTATGTTACTTCTTCATCAATTATAATCTTGATGTTTTTGTTTTCAGTGATATTTTTGTCCTTTGGTCGACTGTACTACTGCAGTTGTTGCATAACTCTGTATATTTGTATGAACTGTGAAGACACTAAATGAGTGACACCAAAGAAAATCCTTTCAAGCATCCCAAGCGAAAAACTGAGTGCGGTATGTTTACCTGATTTTCATTCTTCAAATAATGATAATAATAATGACTGATTGAAGGAGGCCTTCGCGTGCTTCTGCAAGTGTTTTTTTTTGGGGGGGGGCTTGTCACCCTCGGGCCACTCAAACCATGGGAGTTGGTTTTTTCTTGGGGTACCTGAAACAGAAAGAGAACTAGTGTTGCGTGACCCAAGACCACATGGGGACAACTGCTTGAAGCTGGTCACACATAGCCTGTTTCAGCTGGCTTTCAAGTTTGGTTCCGTACTGGTAACTTATCGTCGGCTGCGGACCCCCGTAGAGCAAGTCATAATTTATAATTTTCGGGTCGACCTTTGTTAATCTCCTTCTCCAGGGTGGAGAGACAGCATAGCTGGCTGACATGCTGGGCATCTGAGGGAAATACCTTATTGCTGTTACATCCATGTTCCCCAGCAGTATGACTTTACCCACAGACCGCCAGCATAATATATAAAAAATCTTACAATGAGTTCGTAACTGATTTTAGTCTAATCGTTATCCTAACAATCTTCCTGTCATGGTAAGAGCTGCAGGAACATTAATTCCAGCTAGTGTAGCTTGCTGGGTCATTGCGATGTGCAAGCCCTACCACCACCTCAAGGTAGCAGCTATCGTTCGGGATCAATAATGCTGACGATGAAATGATGAAAATACTTGTCTTATTTTATTTCCTAATTACTGGAGTCAACACGTACGTACTGCTGATTATTTATAATAATGGAGTTCCGTTTTCTGCCATTCGGCGTGTTTAACACATGTTTGTAGATTATCGTCAACAAAACTTACGAATCAAATGAGTCTTCTCATCCATTGCACAAGCTAGAGCGTTAACGACCTTCGTGAAACTCCTTTTATATTGTTATCAATTGTGTGATTGTAAACAGTTGAGTGTATAGTACTGTTACGCTGCTAGTTTTTGTGTAGACTCACTCACTCACCAGTCGCGGTGAGTGATGGAAAAGTCCGTGTCAATATGTAATTGTGTGAGTGCTGATGGAGGTGTAATGAAGACATAGGGCCACACTGCAATGTGGATAATCGTTAGCAGCGTAACAATGTTAGTCTGGAGGTCTCAATTAGGATTTACAACACTTTTGTGCATACAGTTTTGTTATGCACCTAGGAAACTTGGCCTCGCTGAGCTGAGGATGTGCGGCGATTTCTTGTATGCGATAATAGCTATCTTCCTAGGATTGCCTGTACAAGATAGTGGTATCGTGTAGGCGATTCTGAAGTCCTACTGTATGTTTGGAAAGATTGAACATCGTCTTTCAACAAGTGATATCATTTTGTGACACCATCTTCGTTGGCTTAGACATGCACTATGAATATAATCACAGCGACTAACCCTTGAGGAAAGCGGGAAGTCTGTCAGAGTATGGCATGGTACCGTGTAGTGAAGGCTAGTTTTGCTGGGTTAGTTATCTATCAGTGCACCATGAATCCGCGGATTGGGTCCAATAGGTCGTAAGACGTTATAAGATATGATTAAGAATTCATTTGCGAAAGTAGTATGCAATAACGACCACTTTTATAGGTGTTCTTAGTAAATATGCTCATTTGTTTTTATTCTGTTAGTTTTCAATTATTTTATTTCTCTCTTCCTTGAATTGTTGTCTGATTATTTTGTATGGCGCTCCCCATTCGCTGCCCATGTCGTATCAGCAGCGATGTGCGGCAGTTCAAGTCGCCACATTCCCTCCATGTAGCACACAAAGAAAGAGAAGAAAGTAGAAGAAATGCATAATAGAGACAGTAAACAGAGATGTGAGACAAAGGAATAGTAATAACGAAGAACAATATAGTTTCATTGGAAATCATAAGTCACAAGGAGTGGATGCATCTACGCTATGCATTGGGAACGATTTTCAGCCATATCACCGATTGTCTCTAGCCTTCATTGGTTTTTAGCGTCCTGAGGACCCCAACCAGTCAGGAAGTCTACACTTTCCTACGTGACTAGCTAGTTTAAACTAACTGTTGTGGATTTTAACTGATTAAAAATGCCCATTAAAATTTTTAAAAGAATGGATACTGAACAAAGAGTACTCTTTTCGATAAATTCATCATCAGGCTCTACATTTATACATACATTGTAGTGAATGAATGAGTTAGTGTTATAAACAACATTAATGTTTAAATAACTGGTGAGGCCATGTTTTAGTTTGACCGCCGCTAGCTCTTTTCCAGCCTGATCCATTCTGTGTCAGCTAAGACTGCCTGTCGAGGAAGACTATGGCTAGGTATACATAACAGATGTCCCAACCATCTCAGTCGATGCAGCTTCACAACCTCAATTGATATTTCCTCTACTTACCTAGCACTCGACCAAAGTCTAACCTCAATATTGCTCATCCTATTATACCACTTCACACGGGATATGGAACGCAAGCACCTATGACGAAAGACAGTAAGCTGGGCTTTTCATGTCTTCCACTCTCAATGGCAAGGCCTCACTCACAGTGATAAAGGAGGACGGAGCGGACTGATGAGCAGTACACACGCTCTTTGGTCGGTAGTCGGCCGGATATCAGGTCTACGCCATAGACGGCGTAAACTGGCATATGCGAAACTTATGTCTGTCAAGGTGAGTGCTAGCTGTTCCCAACTAATACTTTGACCTATGCTTAGATACTACTACTATCTTTAGAAGATTTACGAGCTAAATTTTTATACAATAGTTTGTGTATGATAGGATGAGTAATTGTAAACTTGTAAGGGAGCATGAAAACTCAATCAGTGAGGTCATTATAGCTGCATCGATTGAAATTGTTGGGACATATTTTACCTATGCCAAGTTATTACCTTCCTTGTTGAGAAATGTTAACTGTGACATAAGGTGAAGTTGGGAAAGAGTGGTCAAATCAAAACCTGCCATCAGTCCACGAACAAAATTTGACCATCGCTTTGAGTAGCATAACGAGATGCGGATGCTGAAAATCAATTGGTGGAGGCTTTTTGGGATGCGGCGGCTAAAAATCGCTTTCAATAACGTGGATGTATTCAATCTTTATGAACACCGATAGCTATTGAACTCTCACTATTCTTCATGTAATTATTCCTCTTCCCGTTGATTTCCGTTGATTATAGTCTTCCTGTGATAATCACAGAGGGATTAGCTTGACTAATATAGTATCTAAAGTCTTAGGTACAATAATCATGCGTAGACTGAGTGGTGCTCGGGAAGCACAAACACGAGAGAGCCAGGCAGGCTTTAGACCAGGAAGAGGGTGTATTGATCATATCTTCACCCTCCGACAGATTCTAGAATATAGGAATTCCTACCGGCGTCCAACAGTCACTATATTTTTTGACCTAAAGGCAGCATTCGACTCTGTCGATCGGGAAGTTCTCTGGAGATGCTTGGCTGTCAAGGGAATCCCGAGAAAATATATTGCACTGATTAAGGCACTCTATTCGTACTCATACAGCCAGGTGAGGGCTTACGGCGAGCTGTCATCTGAACTGATGACGACCAGTGGTGTCCGTCAAGGATGCCCATTATCTCCTTTTCTATTCAACTTCATCATAGATGTGTTAATGGACTTAACCCTAGGTGACTTCAGCGATTCAGGGATTGACTTGCTACCTGGGAATAATCTCGTTGACTTGGAATATGTAGACGATATAGTCCTTCTAGGCGAAGACGCTGACAAGATGCAGAGTCTTCTAAACACCTTGAGCAGCAATCTACGAATGTTTGGCATGCGATTCGCTCCCGCCAAATGCAAGATGATGTTACAGGACTGGACTACATCGACGCCTAGTTTAAAAATAGGAAGTGAAGTGGTAGAGCATGTTGACCGCTTCACTTATTTGGGAAGTACCATCAGCCCCAACGGGCTGATCTCTGACGAAATCTCAGCACGAATACAAGGGGCTCGTTTCGCATTTGTTAGTTTACGCCGACTCTGGCGTAGACGAGATGTTCGACTATCGACCAAAGGGCGGGTGTACTGCTCATCAGTCCGCTCCGTCCTCCTTTATGGTTGTGAGACCTGGCCACTGAGAGTGGAAGACATGAAAAGACTAGCTGTGTTTGATCATAGGTGCCTGCGTTCTATTTCCCGTGTAAAGTGGCATAATAAGGTGAGCAACATTGAGGTTAGGCGTAGAGTTCTAGGTAAACAGGGGAAATCAATCGACGAAGTCGTGAAGCTACATCGACTGAGATGGTTAGGACATGTGTTACGTATGCCAAGTCATCGCCTCCCTCGACGAGCTATGTTAGCGGATATAGGGTCAGGCTGGAAAAAAGCTAGGAGGTCAAACCAAAACATGTCACCAGTCAATGAAATCCACAACAGTTGGTCTTAGCCACGTAGGAAGGTGTAGACTTCCAGGCTGGGGTCCTCGGGACGGTAAAAATCTATGGTTGGAAACAATTGGTAACATGGCTCAAAATCGTTCTCAGGGGCGCAGATGCATCCACTCTCTGTGACTTATGATCTTCAATGAAATTGTTTTGTATTTCTTTATTACTCCTTTGTCTCACACCTCTGCTCACTGTTTCTATTATGCTTTTCTTGTACTTTCTTCTCTTGCTTCGCGTGCTACACGGAATGTGGCGACTTGAACTTCCGCACATTTGTGCAAAGTTCTATGTCGAAAACAGACAGAGACAGACAGTTGATTATAGTTACTTTGCACTTTTATTTTCTCTTTTTATGAGATGTGACAACTTGAATTTCTGAACTTCTTTTTCAAAGTTCTACGTTGAAAAGTCAATTAAATTCAGTTTAGCATGACACATATTTATTATTATTATTATTCTTGCCTTTGGTTTCAAGTGGAACATAGGGCTGGCTTCAACAACACATCTCCACTTTGTTCTATTTTCTACTCTCCTCATCTGTGTCCACGATTGCCTATTATCTCTCATCGCCTCTTCTTAAGATCTCCTCTGTGTCACCCTCGCACTACCGACCGACTCGTTGCTTCCCATTGGGATTCTGCTTGAGCAATGGCCTGCTTTTCTCCTACATATTTTGTTAAGCTCTTGGTTGGATTGTTTCCAGCCAGAGTTTCTTTCTCGCCGACCATTTGATCTTCAGTATGGAGCCAGCCAGTGAAGGCAGCTATTGATAAAAGACTGCAGTAGCCTGTTGGACATCGTTTTCGTGACATGCTGGCCAAGTTTCTTACCCGTATAGAAGAACCGAATTGACATTGGTGTTGGGAATCTGAATCTGGTTCTTTATGCTGGCTGAGTGAAGCAGATTTGCAAACTGGTTTCAGGCTGATGAGGGCGTGTCTTGACTTTCCGATTCTGACCGGCTGGTTTTGACATATTCATCCGTTCCGCTGGCCTGTAGTTGAAATGATGCTTTCTGGCTGGATAAGTGAAGGAAGTAACCTCTGTTAAATCTCTCCCGTTGATAGTGATTGATGCTGGTTGTTGTTATCGTTGTTGCTGCTGTTGGTTGGCTGGTTATCTTCATCACCTCCGTCTTCTCTATGTTCACGTGGAGTTCTGCCTCTTTTGGCTGCTTATTCAGCCAGTTTGTTGGTTTTCGTCTGCCTTTAAGTCTTGGAGTTTGTGTGACACTGTGCAAAAACAGAAGACAAGGGCCAGGCAACAGATCGTTTATTAAAGAAATCAACACGTATTTATATATTATCATGTACATTATTATAGATTATTCAAGCAAACAAACACACTCTTGTTTCTCACAGAAGGTTGACCTTTCATCTCCTTCTGACTGTTTTTTGAATGTCAGGTCATCTATATGTTAACTGTATCCGCATACGCCAAATCTGCTGTGGTTGGCTGTTGAATCAGTCTTTGTTCATATTTTTCTCAAGACCAATATTGGGACCTTAAATATTGATGTAAAATACTGTCTACCAATTTTGGCTAGTAGCCAGGTCGCACCACAACTTGACTTATATCATCTGCGAAGTCCAGATCTTCTAGATGGAGTCTTCTTTGCGTTGATCCAGAGTATTCCTGTCTCCTCGCTCACACACACACACACATTCTGACTCATAATCTAGTCAGTCAACCACAATTAGGAATATCGTCGGCGACAGTAGTGGGCAGCCAGGCTTGTTTAACTCCTGTGTTCACTTCGGACCGCCTTTCAGAGTTCTCCATTGTGGATCACCTGACACGTGTCATTGTCATACAGCCAGTTGTTGGATGAGGTTGACAAATACTTGGGCGCTGCGCGCCGTAGTGTGGGTATCATATATCAAGTACTAATTGATGACGATAGAACTGAATGGATTCATGAAGATATTGATGACGAAATATTGGTTTATCAAACGAATAGCGGGTTTTCGGTGACAGTACCTTTCTGGTTGATGTTTCTTTTATTTGTCTATATTATTATTCATTCGTCGATTAGGCAGTAGAACGAAGGGTGTCAACAGCACATTTGCATTCCACTTTATTCTCTGCTGTAATATTAAGCTGGCCCTAAAAATGCCTATTCCCCTTCACATGATCTCCTCCATGTCATACTCTGGCGTGTAGTTCGTCACTACCCACTCGGGTTCCATTCCAGGATCTCGCATGTGATGTGTGACTCAACAGTATCTTCAGCATATGTTCAATTCATCTCCATTTCTTGCTGCATATTCATTTTTGATTACAGCTTGATTCCACATTGTACTTTTGGTAGAGGTATGGAATTTTCAGCATGTGATATCGGTAGCCCAAATTTTGCAGGCCGGCTATTGATATCGGGTGTGCGTCGGTAGAGGACCGAACCCCGGAACATGTGCATGATCGGCGAGAGTCCTAGGCGCTGTGCCACCGACGCAGGTAATTGGTAGTTAGCTGGTTCACTGCACTGCTGGAGTCCTCTGTAGCTTATCCCTTCTGTCTGACCGTTTAATATTCAATATCGATCGAAGAGGGCAAGTGCTGATGAAAGTCAGTTGTCTGCGACACGTGCACTAAGACTCTGGAGCATATGGACACAGTCACTTGACATTAGAATTAGAAGTTGGGATTTTTATTCTTTGTACTGTAGTGCTGTCTCGATCCGATTCAGGCTGGTTCTTGATTTCATTATCCGTGCCGCCTGTAATTGACAGGACGCGCTCTCTGTCTAGGTAAGTGAAAGAAACGCAAATTCGTTTAGATTTCTCTCATTGATGACAATTGGTGCTTGTTGCTGTTGTTGTTGGGTAGGTGGGTGGGTGGTTGTCTTCATCACCTCTATCTCCTCCGTGTTCACCTGAATTCCTGTCTGCTTCTTCTACCAATTTGTTGGTTTTCGTTTGTATATCTTTAAATTAATTTGGTGCAACGTACGACTATTAGTGATCCAGATTGTTCAGTGTCTTGATTTCACCTACTAATATTGCATACTGCTGTTCACTTGTATTAAGATTTTTCTTTTCTACCGGGGTTGTTTCATACTTCTTCTAGGTGCTCCACGTCAGTTGACTAATAAGGCGACAACTCAGAGACGTTACGTAAGCAGGCGTATATTCCGTTTAATTCTGCTTTTGTAGACATCATGTGCAAGAGACGAACCAATTACTGTTGGTCGGTACAGTAATCGAATTGTAAAAAAACACCAATCTTCTCCAAAATCGGGAGCTAATGTTTCATTAACCATAAATGTAAGTCTACTGTTTATTGTTTGCCTGTCTATTAGTCTGTCGTTTGTGTGTGTGTGTGTGTGTCAGTCATAATATTCTATCTGGGTTCAAATCCTGGTGCGTGCGTGCGTACTGTGATGAAGAGTCCCAAACTACTGGGACGAAACAGCTCTTCAGTACTTCCAGGTTTTCCGATGATTCTCTGACCGACCGATGTCAGCTCATGATGAAATCTTGAAACTAATCAAATCCCCCATAAACCAACACTTGATTATCTCTTTTTTGCTTGTTTTTAAGAGAGCCCATGAGTCAGCAAAGAAATCTCTTTTCTTCGTAACTTTACTTGAAATCTGTACCGTTATTTGGGGGAGGGTGGTGTTTATATGTGCAATATAGATTGACAACAGAGGTCAAAGATTATTGTCGGTTCATAATAAAGTAAGCCAAAGTACATGAGTAATAACTATGTTTGAAAATATTAGGAATAGTCCTACGTAATCAAAAGGGTTGACACCTGATTACTTGAGTAATGAATAATCGTTTTGTTACAGGATTTCGTCATGAGCTGAGATTGGTTAGAGAACCATTGGATATCCAGGTGGGAGCACTGGACAGCTGTTCCGTCCTAGTTTAGGACTCTTCCTCGGTACACTCCCACAAAGGTGCATCTGTGTCAACCATTCAGAACGACTTTTAGCCATATCACCAATTGTCTGTAGCCATTGATGTTTACCATCCCGAGGACCCCAACCAGCCAGTAAGCAAGTCTACACCTCCCTACGTGACTGGCTGGCCTAAACTAACTGTTGTGGAGTTCATTGACTTATGAAGCCATGTTTTGTTTTGACCACCACTGGCTCTTTTCCAACCTGATCCATTCTGTGTCAGCTAGGACTGCCTGTTGAGGAAGGCTATGGCTAGGTATACGTAACAGATGTCCCAACCATCTCAGTCGATGCAGCTTCACAACCTCGATTGATATTTCCTCTACTTTCCTAGCACTCGACCAAAGTCTAACCTCAATATTGCTCATCCTATTATACCACTTCACACGGGATATGGAACGCAAGCACCTATGATGAAAGACAGTAAGCTGGGCTTTTCATGTCTTCCACTCTCAATGGCAAGGCCTCACTCACAGTGATAAAGGAGGACGGAGCGGACTGATGGGCAGTACACACGCCCTTTGGTCGATAGTCGGATATCAGGTCTACGCCAGAGATGTCGTATATTTTTTTATGCGAAGCTAGCCTTCTATATCCGTGCTGAGACTTTGTCAGATATCAACCCACTTGGGATGGCTGATGGCAATTCCAAAATAAGAGAAGCGGTCAACGTGCTCTACCACTTCACTCCCTATTTCTAACCTAAGAATCAATGTAGTCCAGTCCTGTAGCATCATCTTACATTTGGCGGGAGCGAATCGCATACCAAACATTCGTAGATTGCAGCTCAAGGTGTTTAGAAGACTCTGTATTTTATCAGCGTCTTCACCTAAGAGAGAGGAGTATATAATCTGCATATTCTAAGTCAACGAGATTATTCCCTGGTAGCAAGTCAATCCCTGAGTCTCTGAATTCACTTATGGTTAAATCCATTAGTACATCTATAATGAAATTGAATAGGAATGGGGATATTGCGTATCCCTGACGGACACCACTAGTTGTAACCACTTCAGATGACAACTCGCCATAAGCTCCCACCTGGTTGCATGAGTTCCGGTAGAGTGGCTTGGTCAGCGCGATGTATTTTCTTGGCATTCTTTTCACAGCCAAACATCGCCAGAGTACCAGTTAGTCGACAGAATCGAATTCCGCAAGAAACGTAACGATTCTTGGACGCCGGTAAATATGCCTGTGTCCGGTTCCAGAATCTGTCGAAGGGTGGAGATATTATCTTCCTGGTCTAAAGCCTACCTGGTTCTCGTGTTTGTTCCTCCCGATCACCTCTTAGTCTACGCATTATAATTGATAATAGTAATATGCTCCTGAATTGAGCTGTTGACTGTTCTAGGTTCTGCTTTTGACAGCCATGCTGGTATGTGTTCATGGGCACTTCTAAATAATTTCCTTCAGTTAAGGCCTATGCTAATTAGCTCCATAGGAGCAGGTGAAGTTGCCAACAGCGCGGGATCTTGTCTTTGACTTTATGGTGAATAGAAGCATGTGTAGCGGAGGTGAGACGTAGGGATGCAGCAAAGAACCTTCTATAAATTGCTGTCGACAGTCGGCTTTTGAGGACCCCACTAATTGTGTATCTCCGATGAATTTCAGATTTACAACTAGTTGTTACTTCGGCACATGCTGGTTTCGAGGAGTATCCGTCTTTCTCTTTATATGTTTTACTGATGAAGAAGGTTGGATATCCATTTTTTTAATTAGAGTTTTTTTGTTGGATTCCAATTCCTTATTCAATGCGTCCTCCTCCCTCACAAGAGAGAATATGAGATTTCCTTTTCTGCTTATTATTGTTGCTCCCTTGGGTTCCTAGTGGAACATAAGGCTTCAACTGAACGTCTCCACTTGCTTCTGTCTTCAGCTGTACTTTTCACCTACATTCATGTTAGTTCATACTGTTTCAACTCCTCTTCACACCATCTCCTCCATGCAACCATTGGACGTCTCACTCGCCTCTTCCCTTTCGGGTTCCACTCGAAAAATGGCCTGGCGGGCGCGTGATGTCACCCAGAGGCCTCCTCACCCAGCGAGTGTTCAATCCATCTCCACTTTCTCCTGCATATTTGTTGGTTGGCGATTGGTTGGTTCTTGTTTTGTTTGTTCCCAGCCAGAGTTTCTTGTTGGTTATTCTTTCCGACCCGGCCATCTGATCTTCAGTATAGAGCCAGCGAAGACAGTTGTTGGTTGATGAAGGTGTGCATGCAACAGGCTGTTGGAAATATTCTTTGTGACCCACCCACCAAGCTTCTGATCCGTATAGAAGAACTAATTGACTTGACGTTTGTATTGATGATCCGACCGAATTTTGTTGTTGATGGTGAGTGACGAAGATTTCCAGATTGGTTGTTTCAGGTTGATGAATGTGTTTCTCGCTCGCCTTCCCGATTCTCGCTCGATTTGACATCCTCGTTCGTTCCGACTTCCTGTAGTTGAGACAATGCTCCCTAGATAAGTGAAGTGAATGAAGTAACCTCTTTCAAATCCCAAATCACCCGTTGATGGTGATTGGCGCTGGATGTTGATGCTGTTGTTGTTGTTATTGTTGTTGGTTAGTTATTTTCATCACCTCCGCCTTGTCTATGTTCACGTGGAGTCCTGTCTTCTGTCTGTTTCTTCGACCAGTTTGTCGGTTTTCGCTTGTAAGTCTTCGATTGTTGTGTGTGTGTGTGTGTGCTTATTAGGACAAAACTGTAATAGTTGGTTAGCTGTCTATTCCAATTTGACTTGTGGTAGATTGACCTTGGGTAGACTTCTATCTGATTGTCTTGTAAGCTGAACACCCAAGAAGAATAATTTACCGTCTGAATTGAATTCGACTGACTGATGAGTGTTGTTGAAGATTTGCAAGATTTAGTTTAGATCACTTGTAAACTTCAGACCGTTTTATTGTTTGTAGGAGGATATTTAACTCAGGGTGCGCAGCATGAAGCAATGGACCAACCAAGTGAAGAATTCATTGCTATCCCATCTTTCTGTTGATATATTTGACCACTAAGTGGGCATCTCAGGATTAGCTCTTTGACATGCCTAGTTGGTACACCAACATTCAGACTATTTTTGAATTGATACACTCACATAGGTTGGTAGCATACAGTTCCCGTTAAAGAGATATTAGTGAATAGTGATTTTGATTTTCACTTCCTGAGTTGCAGTCATTATTAAGTTTGCAAATCTACTTAAGTGTTTTGTCTATGCTATAATTTTACTTAACTATTCACCCCACCCTCCACTCACCCTCCTGAACTCTCCATTATAATATTGCATAAACTCGTTCTGTTAACCTGTCTTGTTTGCTGCTACTAGGGAACAATCTCGTTGACTTAGAATATGCAAACGATATAGTCCTACTAGGCGAGGACGCTGACAAAATGCAGAGTCTTCTAAACACCTTGAGCTGCAATCTACGAATGTTTGGCATGCGATTCGCTCCCGCCAAATGTAAGATGATGCTACAGGACTGGAATACATTGATTCTTAGGTTAGAAATAGGGAGTGAAGTGGTAGAGCACGTTGACCGCTTCTCTTATTTTGGAATTGCCATCAGCCATCCCAAGTGGGTTGATCTCTGACGAAATCTCAGTACGGATACAGGGGGCTCGTTTCGCATTTGCCAGTTTACGCCGCCTATGGCGTAGACGAGATATTCGACTATCGACCAAAGGGCGGGTGTACTGCTCATCAGTCCGCTCCGTCCTCCTTTATAGCCAGCTGTGAGACCTGGCCACTGAGAGTGGAAGACATGAAAAGCCTGACCAGCTGTGTTTGATCATAGGTGCCTGCGTTCTATCCCCCGTGTGAAGTAGCATAATAAGGTGAGGAATATTGAGGTTAGACTTTGGTCGAGTGCTAGGTAAGTAGGGGAAATGAATCGACAAAGTTGTGAAGTTACAAAGACTGAGATGGTTAGGACATGTGTTACGTATGCCTAGTCATCGCCTTCCTCGACGAGCAATGTTAGCGGATACAGGGTCAGGCTGGAAAAGAGCTAGTGCAGGTCAAACGAAAACATGGCACCAGTCAATGAAATCTACAACAGTTAGTCTAAGCCACGTAGGAAGGTGTAGACTTCCTGGTTGAAGTCCTCGGGACGGTAAAAACAAATGGTTGGAAGCAATTGGTGACATGGATCAAAATCGTTTTCAGTGGCGCAGATGCATCCACTCCTTGTGATTTATGATTTCAAATGAAACTGTTTTGTTCTTCGTTACTACTATTCCTTTGTCTCACACCTCTGTCTACTATCTCTATTGTGTTTATCTTGTACTTTCTTCTTTTGCTATGTATGCTACATGGAGTGTAGCGACTTGAACTGGTACACATTTGTGCAAAGTTCTATGTCGAAAACAGACAGACAGACAGACAGACTGACTGACTGACAACCTGTCTTGTATTTTGTCTCTAGTCCATCCTTGTTTCCAAGCCAAATCTGAAATCTACCGCTCTTGTTTAACACCGCTTCCATCATCTTCGGGATTATGTTTCCTATGCTTTCTATCCGTAGCTCGAAGTCATTTTAAAATGTATTTTCGAAAATTTTTGTAACCTATAATTGATTTTGTTCAGGATATACGCAGTTGAAGAGGTCGTATTATTCTGAAAGTGTATTTGTTCTTTCTTAGTTCAAACTCTAATCAATAATAAATGGAACCAGTTGTACAAAAGCGTCTATCTGATATTGACAGACCTTCGAAAGCTTTACTCCATGATTTTTTATTTGTACACACAACATTGAACTTAAGGGAAATATTATCATAGATTATTTCAAAATTTTATTGTGTATATTCATGACCCCCAATTGCTACTTCTGGGATTTCGCAGCAGTTCACTTAATCCTTCTTAATGGCTGTGAAATGTTACCGTTAGAAGTGGAAGATATGAAGATGAGGCTAGTTAACTTGTAACGACAGAGGACAAGGACCAGGCAACAGATCGCTTATTTTGTGAGAAAATCAACAGATATTTTTGGATTTTTATGTACATTATTATTAGCGTTATTGTTAGTAAAGAAGCAACGTCTTCTGATTGGTTGTTTTCTTGATGAAGGTTATTCTGTTATCTCTTTGTGGCCGTTTCTTAGGCAGTCCGGTGATATATCTGCTAATCGTATCCGCCCACGCAAGGTCTGCTGTGATTGGTTGTTGAGTTTGTTAAGGCTACGCTTTGTTCTTGTTTTTTCTCATGACCAAGATTTGGGACGTAAACATTGACGTAATAATAATAATAATAATAATAATATGCTTTATTCCAAAACAGTACTTGTGATACAGAATAGAATTCTCAGCATTTCACTACAGTATTGCATCCAGTTTGTGCATTATCAATAAATAAAATTCTACATAGATTATGGGTAGTCTCAGTTAATTTTGACAACAACATATTAGCATGTCGGTAGCAAAGCCGAAATTGAACAGTGTTTGAAGGTGCTAGAAAAGTAGATGCTAGCATATTTCTAGTGCGAGCATATAGTTTTCTATATAGGCTTCTGGCGTAAATTGTTGTCTACAATTTTGTCTTAAATACAACTCTCACCACAAACTGACTGTTTTTCACGATAAGTGTCTGTGTTCTACCTATCTGTCTATCGTGTTATATTGTATACTGTCATCATGGACAGTAAGGTTTGACGTATAGTGTTAGGCAAGGAGGGGAAATCAGTTTATGAGAGCTGGATATGAAGCTGTATTGATTGCAATGGCTTGGGTGTTTCACACATGCGGAGACATCATTGTTATCTCTGTCGAGCAATGTTAGCTAACTTAGGACTTGGGTTGCAAAAGGGTTAGCAATGATCAGACGAAAATATTGACGCCATGATGAAACCTTGACTGCTGGTTTCAGCCATGATAGGAACGTGCGATCGTCGTGGAAATCGCTGATGACATGGCTTAAACTCGTTTTGTGATCTTTGAGATTCGCTACATTCTAATTATATCATCCGCGTTTATTTATTTATGTATTTTTTATTTTACGTTTTTAGTGGAGCATAGGGCCTCAAGGTGTTTATTTTTGTGTTGGGTGTGGTTGCTAGCCTCTCATAACCAACCTTCACGCCCTACCGATCTTATTACTACCGGCTCAACAAGGTTTAGGAGCGCGTCAGCCGGGAGTCAAACACCCAATCACTTGTGTGCATGGTTGGCCAGCATTCTAGCGCTGTGTCACCGACGCCGTGTCATTATTAATCATCTATGTCAGGTTTGACGGAGTAGCTTTGAAACCTATTTGGTTCCTTCACTGTTTTATAGTGGGGCGGGGTGGGGGTGCGTTCTTGTACCTTTTCAAATTATCGGAAACACCTTGTTTCTAAATCTAAATCTCTTATTAAAATTGACTTTTATTTTTATTATTACGGCATAGGATTCAGTAGCCTCAGCAATTCCTTCAAACAGTCTGCAACAAACACTCGGGATTTCAAAAGGAAACACTTCAGATAAACAAGAGAATCCACGTGCATTTTCAGTAATATCAGAAGAATTAAATAGTAGTAGTGCCTCCACCACGTGCTATGATGATATATCATTGGCTGCATACTCCCTGTGGTTGTTATATCAGCGTTGTACATCCAGTTACATTGTAAACAAAATAGAATCTGATTACGTAAGTCTACTGATTTATTGATTTTTTGTTGTTGTTTTTTTGTTAGACAACTGTTTTATCCTAGTTTGGAACTCTTCATCAGTGCGTACGCATTGAAGGGATGGGGGGTGGAGACGAATCCAGAATCTTTCGATTACACGGTAAGCTTGTAGACCATTCAGTCACGGGGGGGGTAGGGGAGCCAAGTCCTCAATGGCCAGTCGATGAATTTTAACTTCTATCAATCTGTGATTAAACCTGAAACGAAATTCAATCCTTAGTATTATTTATTTATTTAAACGCAGAAAAAACTCAGTAAAATATTACACCAAGAAAGATGCGCCACACAATAATAATAAAACAACATAGATCAAAAGTAAAAAATATAAGTAGAGAACGGATAAAGAAATTCATCTGGAAGGGAAACAGTCATACTTAACAAGTTCAAACAGTATTCGTCAACTATCATCGCCATTGATTACGATGTCACGTCATGGACTGCCCACCCCTCCGCCTTTTCCATCCCGTCCCAGGGCTGTACGGGAGCCTCAGGGATGACGTTCACAGCACATGTCCAAGCCACTGGAGCCGGTGTTTCCAGATGACGACACTCAATGATGAATGGTGATCTGCACCACTGTGTTCAAACACACGCCGCCGAACTTCAGAATTACTCGCGCGATGATCCCATCAATCGAACGCAAGCAGTCCTGCGGAGACAGCAATGATCGAACACAGAGAGTCGCCGCACATCCTCAGCCTACTCGGAGAGGCCAGGCCTGGCGTAGAGCAAGACAGCCCTCACTGAGGCATTGTATACTCGACCTTTGACAGCCATGCTAACGTCGCGAAGGCGTCATAGGTGGCTTAGGTTAATGTATGCCACCCTAGCCTTCATGATATGGTTGGAAATCTCATCCGCCAGCACTCACAGAACTACCCAGATACACAAACTTATCAACGACTTCAAGTGGTTCACCCGAAAGAGTGAGGTGTTTTCTGAATCCTTACTAACTAACTCAGGAAAATTAATCTGATGCTCACTAGTGACTGGCTGACTGTAGAACACGAAGTTACCTGGAGTTCTAGTGAGATAGCGTGACTAGTAGTGGGGTGCGCCCAGTCGGGAGTGAAGACAGACACTTGAGATGGACGACATTAGTTGATGGTTGTGCTAAAATCACTAACCGGTAGAAGTTAGAATTCATGGTTGGTTTGCTACCGGACCGGGCCCCAGTGTCTGTATGGTCCACAAGGTCACCTTGTCACCAGATGGTCTTGTGTTCGAAACCCAGTAAGTGAGTATTGCTTGAGAGTCCCAAACTAGGATGGGGGAAACGGTTGTCCAGTACTTCCTTCCTGGTGGTGGTTTTCAATGGTTGTCTAGGTGATATCAACTCGTGATCAAATCCCTGCTAACCGACACTGAATTGTTTTTTACAATGATTCTGCTATATACTACTAATTGATTGAAATGAGTAGTTAAATCGTGTTCTCATCAAATTTCACTGTTTTCCAACCAGGTGAATCAGTGGTAGTGTACTTCTTCTCTTGCTTTCTTATTTATTTGTAATATGTAATATCAAACCGATCAGATAACGTGATCGGAGTTTATTTTTTTCTTCTTGCTTGGCGAATGTAAGAACTCTGGTGATTCTTAAGCATAAAGTCTGAAGTTTGCTTACAACGAATTCTATGAAACACTTTTGATCTCCGGCTTGTTTATATCGTGTGTTGTTACTTTTTTTTGTAGACAGAAATTGAAATAATGTCCAGCGAGATAAAACGTTTATGTGAGAGGGTAACTCGTTTGCATAAAGCGAAATCAAATTGGCAGGCTTGGTACGAGTCAGTGACAAATTTACACAAAGAGGTAAAATATTTTATTCTATTTTGTGTTTTTTGCGTTTTCCTATTTATACGCTTCATACGATAAAATTTATTAGTACAGTCAGTCAGCTGATTTGTAGAATCTGCATAATTCACACCCAGGGGTAATCAACACTCCAGTCAATAAACACCCAGCCAACGGTGATAGGATGTAGGAGTAGCTGTCGCGTATTAAGATAGATTACGTCCACCACTGCAAATGTAGTGATTGAACAGACTTCTTCTGTATGCAGAGTTCAGGATTGAGAAAGTGAATTTCCATTGCTTCTGTGGTTTGAAGAAGTCTGATTCATACACTTTTAGGAAGACTGCTTCGGTTTCTGTAGATGACTTTGTAGTTTGTTTGGCGGGGTGTGTAGCTTGGTGCCCGGAATCTATCAGATGTTCTAAGATAGAGCTGGGGGGGGCGTCGATTTTCTCATTTGTTCGGTGAAATGTTTGAAAAGCGAATAATTACCAGCATGGTTTTACAAAGGAGAAAAACGATGCCCCCCAGCTCTATCTTAGAAAATCCGATAGATTCCCGACATCAACCTACACCCCCCTCCAAACAAACTTCAAAGTCGTCTACAGAATATGAAGCAGTCTTCCTAAAAGTGTACGAATCAGACTCCTTCAAACCACAGAAGCAATGAAAATTCACTTTCTCAGTCCTGAACTCTGCATACAGAAGAAGTCTGTTCAATCACTACATTTCTCAATGGTGGATGTAATCTATCTTAATACGCGACAGCTACTCCTACATCCTATCACCGTTGGCTGTAATCTGAAATTCCCCAAAACTTCTATTCAGCCAGAAATTGTGTGTTGTGTTTGCAATCGATCTTTTGTTTTTTGCACTGTGTAACACAGAATGTGAATGTTTTCTTTGTCATAAGGTTTCATCTAGACAGAGGGAGAGAGAGATAGAGATGACCCTTTAGAATCACTTTGTTCAGCTTTACAGCAAAAAAACAGACATTAAGCTCGGCGGGGAACCGTAAGAACCTTTCAGAACATTCATAGCTTGGACTGTTAGTACTCAGTTTCCCCATTTCATGCTGAATGAGACACAGATAGATGGTGGGGCTTTCACACAGGTAGTGAGTAGTTGCTGACATCATGTCCTACTCTGCCCCTATTCCAAGCGTACTACTGGCTAGACAGGGTTCAGTAGTAGTGTAACAACAGAGGACAAGGGCCAGGCAACGGGATCGTTTATTATGGAAATCAACACATTTTCCTGTACATATTATAAATTACTGTTAGCAGTAAAACACAGTCTTCTGATTGGTTGTTTCTGACTGAAAGTTAACTTTTCATCTCTTTGTGGCCCTTTTTTGAATGTCAGATCATCTATACGTTAACCGTATCCGCCTACGCAAAACTCTTGTTCTCATTTTCCTCACGACCAATATTGGGAACATAAACATTGACGTAAATTAATGCCCACCAATTTTGACTAACAGCCTGCTCCCACTACACTACACTCGTCCCCCTGTCAAAAACTTGCGACTGAAGTTGGTTCCGTTTTCTTGGTTCTAGGGGCTTTGTTCGTTTGTCTTGTTGTCTGGAATCGCGGCGCTCGCTGATGTTCACCTGTTTCTCTTTGTTTATCATTGCGATTGTGTCTGCGTAACCCCATCATCTCAAAGTGACCATATATGGTCCTTCCCAATTTGGAAAGTGTTTACCTAACCCTGTCGCACATTCGTCAGTAGTTTGCCTCACACTTACATATGCTGCTTTCTCCCGACCTCCCAGCAGCGTCCCAAGTAGCAGTCTCATCGCTGACAGGTCTTGAATGCCACTCAACTGCGTCAAAGCCTCGAAGTTCTGCCCGAAGATCCATATGTCTCCAATCAAAAACTGCAGGGCATAGGCTTTCCATTTGTCGGTAGGCAGCGACACCAAATGTAACAACAAAAGATAAGGACCAGGCAACAGATCGTTTATTATGGAAATCAACACATATTTAAAGATTTTCATGTACAATATTATAGATTATTGTAAGCAGAAAAACACAGTTTTCTGATTGGTTGTTTCTCACTGAAAGTTGACCTATTATCTCTTTGTGACTGTTTCTTGAATGTCAGGTCATGTATATGTTAACTGTATCTGCCTACTCAAAGTCTGCTGTGATTGACTGTTGAGTCAGTCTTTGTTCATATTTTTCTCACGGCGGATATTGGGGACGTAAAAATTGACATAAATTACTGTCTTCCAATTTGGCTGGCAGCCAGCTCTCACCACAAAACGTAGATAGATGGTGGGGCTTTCACACAGGTAGTGAGTAGTTGCTGATATTATGTCGAACCGTACCCTTATTCCAGGCTTACTACTGGCTAGACAAGGTTCTGGAATAGTACACGTCGACAGAAATAAAACGAAGACTCTCTGTGTGTGGCAGCGAATATTCTACGATTAGACCACATACTCAGTGGTGTATCAGTTGTTTTATGTTAATATTCAGGTCGTTTTCAAGTTCACATCCATCATCTTGTGTGACATCTGATTTGATTGAAAACATCAGATGTTGTGAGCACGCTTTATCTTTCTTCTCTCGCTCTCTCTCTATATATAGGCGTAACATCCGCTGACATCAGGCATAAACAATCTGCGAAGTCCACATGTTTTAGAGTCTTTTTGTCAGTCTCACATATTGTGGTGGGAGCAGGCTGCTAGCCAATTGGTAGACAGTATTTTACGTCAATGGGTATGTCGCAAGTATTGGTCGTGAGAAAATATGTCTTCTCTCTCCCCACGATCTGTTGCATAATCTAGTTCACCACAATCAGGAATTTCATTGATCATAGTCGTGAGTCCTTATTTTACTTCTGTCTTCACTTCAAAGACTTTGCTTAGTTTCCCGTGGTGGATCACTTGACATGTGGCGTGATCATCGTCATTGTAAAGCTGTTCAATTAGGTTGATACAAAGTTTGTGGCACACTGCACTCGCATAGTATTCATCAATCAGTTTGTAGTACAAATGTAACATAGAGGAGACCAAACAAATCTCGTACAACCATGATGCTGATAATTCTTTTGTTATTTTCTTTTTTCTTTGAAGTATGACCTATTAACAGATTTAATGAAAACTTTAAAAATACCCGTGAATGATTCAGAGATTTATCCTGCGGATAAATCCTTGGATAGTCACAATGGTGGATTACTTCCCAGGGTTCAACAATTAACACTTGAGAAATTCTCTCCACTTGTCTATCGTTTACCTATGAAAAGTATTCACTTGGATGATTCATACACTCATAAGAATATATTGTGTGATCTACAGCAGATCAGTAATCTTTCACTTAAGGTAAGAAATAATTTTTTTATTTGGTGTATATATTTCTAACCGGGGTTGGGGGATGTGGCATCTGGTATTACTTATTTGATGTTGTTCATTGGCGTTTAGGTATTCGGTGTTTAGTTAAAAGGGTTGCGGGTTCGAATCCCGTCTCACCAACTTTAGTCTGTGTAGTATTGTTACGAAGGTGACTGAGTCTTAGAACGATGAGTGATGCTTGAATCTTGAAAAGATGAATGAACCAAGAATTTAGGCTTTATTCAGTTTACAATGAAGCCGGAATGGCTTAAACGTATAAAGGAAAAAAAGCGTGTTAATAGCGGTAGAGATAGGAATATGACTAGATACGTATTATAAGAAAAGTTCACAACATTCACTGCCGCTTGAAAAAGAATGAGCCATTATGTCACGCTTCTCTGGTACGCAAATTGTAAGGCCGTACACGTTGTTGTTTTTCCAAAAGAATATGCCCGTTGTTCGTTTCAGTTGTATTTTCTTCACGAAGAATATTAGGATCAGTGGTCGCATCCCCATTTACTTGTTGCTCAGGAATTGCGTCGCCCTCTGGTTCACAACAAGTATCACCAGCTCTCATTCGATATCTGTATGGCTGATATCTTAGTGCATAGAAAATCCTGGCTGGGATACTGTTTGGACACTGAGACCGAAGCAGGTAGGTATCTTAAGGGGCCATACTCTCCGAGCCTTTAATTTGCAGTCTGATCCACAAGGCAGTAGTGGAAGAGCGGCGTTAGAGGCTGCGTTTCCGATAGTTACGCGTGACCAAAACAGGTTCATACATCATTTAACCTGTTCAGATTCTGGAGCTCATGTACACTATAGGTTCAGAATCAGGGTTTACCAGCTCTTCTGGGTAGACTTGTGTGTTCAACAGTCCGGTTGTTAGCGCCAGATGTTGGCATTTTTCCCTTCACTTTTGTAAGGGACATGAAGGCAAAAATATTTCTCCTCTTTATTGAACTAAACTGGATTACCAATGTAGGACTTTTTCTGAAAGTTCCACAATTCAAGTATCTGCGCCACTGAGAATAATCCTTAGGCACGCCATCAACAACCTCCAGCCATTAGTTTTTAGCGGCTCGAGAGGATCCCATTCAGGTTGCCTACACCCTCCTACTTTCTACATAGGTGCTGCAGAAGAAGCGGCAATCTTCTGCCAACCTTTTTATCAATAGCTCATGAAAACGTGTCCATCGTTGATTTGGTTTTAGAGTTCGCCATATGAGGTAGTTTTCCCCTCCTTCAAATTAGTACTGACTGAGAGCAGATGATTATGGTGACTGGAATTGTAAAAGACGTGGAACTCAGCTTTTTAATTATTTTCTTTGCTCTAAGGAAACTTCCTTATTTGTTATTTTTTCTAAAAGTTTGATGACGGATTGTTCAAGAACGGAATACCGAACAGCTGTTCTGTCATAGTATGGGACTCTTGGGCAGTGCACACTCATAACCCTTCCAGGGATCAAACGAAGGATCTTCAGGTTGTGAGGCCAAACTCGTTTACCCATCAACCACATGTGTCCAAAGTCAGTGATTTCTGTCAATACGGGACTGTAGTACGACCATCAGTCAGTAATTGATTCTGACTAGTGACTGACCACAGGTGTGGGGGGGGGAAGTTTCCTGAATTTCTAGTGAGATGTCATGACCAGAGGAGTCCACCCAGTCGGGTGTGAGGACAAACATTCGTCAATGATGACAATAGCTGACTGTCGCTCTGAACACCAGCGAATTGACAGAAGTTACTATTGATGAACTGGTCATTGGTGGTTGAATGGTCAACGCACTAGGCCTTGTAACCTGAAAGGCCCGGGTTTGATCCGCAGTGGAGTCGTGAGTGTGCGTACTGATGATGAGTCCCAAACAGGGACAAAACAGCTATTCAGTACTCCATATTGTTTTATAATCCAATTTGAAATAAATGATATCATCTGTAAATCTTGGAAATACTTTTTGTGACAATAATTTTCCTCTCCTCTCCTTTCCCGTCCTCTATAGTTTTCTACAATTAATGAAGACGATATTAGTGCCTTTGAAAAGTTGGCCGATGAAATTCAAAGTGTAGCTGTTCATATGGAGCAGATGCATCCTTTTAATGTTGCTAAATATAAACAATTAACTGAATGTTTGAACACTTTTCTTCTTAAAGCATCATTAACCTGTGAAAAACTTGAACGTATGTGGCTAGCTGAATTGAAATGAATTCATCATTAATGCATGACAAGGTGATAGGATCCCACACACTTTGTTATTGACTATTACGATCAATTATTTCAAATGCTGTTAGCTGCCTATATTGTTGTAAAAATGTATAAATGCCATGACTTTCTTTGTCGTTGTTGTTGTACTACAATACACAGTCACAGTCCAGTCTTTGTCTTTTGATATTTGCGTGCTTCACTGAATCGTAAGGTACCACATGCAGATAGGCATATTAGTCAGGCGCAGACAGAACAAGGCGACAACGTCCTCATTTAATTCCCTACCGTTATAACCAATTGGCGACGGGGTTTACCTTAATTGATTGCAGTTATAACAAACAAGCGACGACGGGTTTTATTCTGTTCAGCGGAGCTATAGAACATTTTTGACTGTGTTATTTATAACCCAGTTACAATGTCTATCTCTCTGGACGATCTCAAATCTATCTTGCAGCAGCAGCAAGTTCAGAATGAAGCAGCTCAACTAAAATTAATCGTGGCTCTCACTCAGAATCTGTCCATTGAAGTTCCATCAACATCTCATTCACACAAATATGAAAGCATCTCAAATTCCATCAGTGAGTTCAACTACGACCCAATATCTGGTCTCGTATTTGATGCATGGTTCAATCGTTACGAAGACGTTTTCCATATTGAATGCTACATGTTTGATGATGCTGCCAAAGTCCGACTGTTACTAAGAAAACTTGGTACTGTTGAGCACAACAGATATGTTAACTTCATTCTGCCTAAGAACCCACGTGAGTTATCATTCGATGAGACAGTCACCGTTTTATCTCAAATCTTTGGTGAACAGTCATCCATGTTTAATATTCGGTATCAATGTTTTCAGTTGACAAAAATGCCTTCCGATGATTATGTGACTTACGCTGGCAAAGTGAACAAGGAATGCGAAAGGTTCAAACCACACGAAATGACATCAGATCAGTTCAAGCGTTTGATTTTTATTTGTGGGTTGAAGAACCCAGAAGATACTGACATAAGAACTCGATTTCTGTCACTCGTGGAACAAGACCGGAAAATGACTTTACACATGGTGACAGCAGAATGCCAACGCTTAATCAACTTGAAGCACGATACTGCTATGGTGGAGTGCAAACGACAGTCGTCTGAATTTGGTTCAATTAACACAGTGAAAAGTCCTCCGATCACCGTTAAGCGTATAGCACGTCAGTCTCAGAATTCAGCTAAACCTCCTTCAGTGTGCTGGCACTGTGGTTTGTGGCATTTTGTCAAGCTCTGTCCTTTCAGGAAACATAAATGCCGTAATTGTCACCGTTTTGGACATAAAGAGGGTTACTGTCCAGCTCAGAAAAATTCTTCGGTGAGGAACAGAAATAGTCGTTTCAAGCAGAAACAATCTCCTCGAGTACAGACCATTTTCACAGCTTCCAAAGTCGATTTCGCCAGCAAACGTAAGTACATTACACTAGGTATTAACGGCAAACATATTCGTCTTCAGTTGGATACGGCATCAGATATCACCCTAATTTCCCGAACTACGTGGCGCAAACTTGGGTGCCTACAGATTCTGCCGACCGAGCATGTCGCTAAGAATGCCTCTGGAGATACACTGAAACTCGTGGGTGAGATAAATTGCCAGGTTCAGTTTGGTGAGCATCAGTTCAATGGTGTATGTTACGTCACAAACTACCATGATTTGAATTTGGTTGGTCTTGACTGGTTAGACAAGCTCCATATCTCCAATGTACCATTAAACTCAGTATGCTGTAATGTTTCGTCCTCACCACACAACGTTGTTCCTGGACATGTATCTGATCAATCTCTGTTGCAACGCCTGCGTCAAAAGCACGCTTTTGTCTTCCAGGACAAACTTGGTTGCTGCAAACTGTTTGGCATCCAGCATATTCGTAGCCCCCCGTATCATCCCAATCGAATGGGCAGGCTGAACGTTTCGTCGACACCTTTAAGCGTGCTTATGCAAAAGCGAAGGGGGTGGGAACAAGAGAAGAAATTTGGATAGATTCTTGCTGCATTATCGTACGACGCCAAATCCTTCCGCCCCAAATCAGTTATCCCCAGCGGAAATTATGTTTGGCCGGAAGATCAGAACTGCCCTCGACTCAATTAAGCCTAGGCAATTAAAGCAGGGCTGCAGAAATACAAAAATGGAAAACCAATTCAATCGCCATCAGATTGTTCAAAATGTGTTGCTTAAATAAAACTATTCAGACAAATTACGTCTTCTTGTTGCTTTGTCTAAACAACTATTGTCAGAGTTTAGATGCACATAACAGTTTTTAATTGAATGTGTTTACCATTTATGTTATTCCATAGTGTTTTTACGGAACTGCACTGACAATTGTAAGAAGTTCCCATCCCAGGTAGTGGCATTTTAGTATGCCGTACTCCCACGGCAAGCTGACTTAACTGAACTCAAGAGTATCGCAAGAAGAGTCTTATTTCAACGCAACATGCATATAGTTTATTTACATATATAAACTGAGCATAGTCGATAATTGTAGGCTCCGTTTGAGAAGTATCTCCAGTTATTTGACGGAAACTGTCCAATATCCAAATGAAATCGTCTTTAAATTCCTTTCTCAATCCAGGCAAACAGAAATGGACGCCTACGTCCGAAGAAATCCGACATTACATCCTGGAACAGATAATGCCTGCATGGTTATTAGCGAATAAGTGAACTTACATTCTATTGTTGGTATTATAAACAGCGTCGATTCCTACAAATATTTAAAAAACTCTATTTGACGACAAAGTCACAAAACACGTTTGTCAGTGAATTTCGGATTTTATCCACCTAATGGCACTTCTCCAGCTCCCCAGCGGATATAAGTAACTGAAACGTCTCATTGCGACTCGACATTCGGAAAAGCAACACAGCGAATTCACGGTTCATCTGTTTGTGGGATGTTACCAAGTTATGGAGCGCGATTCCCATCGGACGTTAGAATCTCTCCTCATAACGTAGATATATTTTTACCGATTTCTGAAATATTGCAGTGGATATTATACCACTCCTCAGCTATAACTTATATTTGCTACTACCCCAGCTTCCATTTATCCAGATATATCACTGCAAGTTACATTGTTTAGATTCACGTTTTCGCAGGGCTAATCCTTCTTTCTACAAATGAAGAACAACCTAGCACAAAAAAGGAAACCGTACAGAAGTTCATTATTTTGTGGTTTATAAATCAGGATCAATTTGCAGGATAATTGGTTTCTGTATAATCTGTAATCCACGGTTAACTACTTTTGTCGGTGAAGTTCAACAATAGCGTCCCAGTAGTGAGAACGCTTCGGTGGTCATGAACGCAAGCTAGTCGTTGGCTAATGGCACCTGCCATCATTATAGCTGAATTATCAACGCTATTCACCAGCTGGGCAGCGAATTTCACCCAGATCACGTTTTTAAGTACTGTTTCCACAATTCGTTAATAGCTCGTTGGGGTTAGGATCAGAGTTAAATTAAGTATTGTGGATAGCGTTAGGATCAGGGTTATAATTCGTATTCGGATTAGAATTACGGTTTGGATAGTGGTACTGATTAGGGTTGGGATTAAGTTTAGGGTTGGTGCTAGGGTCAAGATTAAGGTTAGAGTTACGATTAGGGATAGGTTTATGGTTGATGTTATTTATTTTAATTTGTTTTACTATCCATATTTTCCTGGTAAGTATTCGTCTATCCTGTTACTTGAAACCATGATAATTCCACCGAGGACTCTGGGGAGGACTGCACAACGAACGATGAACGGTTCACGAAAAGAGATCATTTTGGTCACCTCGGTGAATACATGTACAGAAACTAGTCTAACTCGGAAACTGATACTTCTCATAATAACTGGGACGTATTTTTGAGTCATATGATTTCATGCATTTTCTTGTAAATATAAATCATATTTTGTGCAGAAATTTCTCTTTTTTACGATTGGTCGGCTGAAGCTCACCCGTACGTTCGCATACATTGGGACGATATTGTTGAACTGTATCCTTTGGTGTATTTATTTATAAACAATGAAATCCCATACGGTGTCTATGCTAGTTCTTTGTCTGTATATAACTGTTTTCGTTTCCACTGAGCTTCTACCATACTGATCTGTTTGCACTAACGGCACAACATAATAAACAAGTACCTTCTAAACGTAAGAATACCTTAGGTCACTCCGCTGAAAAGATTTGTACATCACTAGACGTTCCACGTGGCCCCAACAGTATCCCCGAAGTCATTGTACCCGACTTGCCAACAGGGATATACGCAACTGCTGAACAAGATAAGTTGGACCTTATTTCTCTGGGAAATTCTTTGAAAGAATTCAATGAGAATATAAATACCATTAAGCCGTTACTGCCTCTTTGTAACCCAACTCACGATACCAATCCGGATAGTCTGCTGAAGTCTGAGCGTATGTTAGACTTTTCAGGTAATGAAGTTATTGAACGAATCATGTCTTTCTACAACATTCTCGCATACAGTCTGCCTGATAGGATATCTCTGGACAAAATCAAAGCGACATGTCTCCAAGCGTTCGGCATGCCATCAGCAAATTGTCACCAAATCAGGCTCAGGAAAGTATACTTGTCCTGTGCTGTTTAAATTCAGTAGTCCCAATGGTTCTAGGAAATTCCAGTCTTCTAACAGGCTGATTAGTTCATCTACACCCTATACTAACATTAAACTTGCTCATGACCTAATGCCATGTCAAAGACGTATCTGTGCAGGTGTATCAAGTGTCGCAAACCTCAGAACTTCCCACCAAGGATTCTATCGCCATACATTTAAGTAAAGCTAATGCTCCAGACACGCATGAAAATAAAATACCCTTAAATAATAGAGCTTTTCCTAGTAATCCCAACAATGAAGCAACTACAGTCATGCATTAAAATGCATCTTTAGAGCTATGCTCGCTAGACACATCATCACCATCAACTGCTAATGCTACTAGCAGTGTTGCGCAAAAGGCTAAGCTCCAGCATTTACCATTAAATATAACTTCCCCA